CAGCTCTACACGACCTTTCTTTGCAAAGTTATAGAGTTTACAAGAAAAGCCCTAAATGTTCATTGTCACCTCAGAGCTACAGAAAGAAAAACAAAAAATGAATTTAGGGCTTTTCTTGTAAACTCTATAGCTTTGCAAAGAAAGGTCGTGTAGAGCTGGGAGATGCCTCGTTTTAATCAGAAATCTATGGACTACAATTACGCCTCATTAAGAAAGCTTTTGGTTGTTGTTTAGAGTTTCTCGAAAACTGGTTTTCCAGAAGATCGGTCTTTGAAGGCCTAGCAGCAGCATTCATGGTGATATTCGGGATCAGCATCGTCGACTACCTATAGTCCACTCGGCTTCGATGAAAAAGCGATTTATCAGTTGGGGTACTTCCCTCGTGAGTTGTGAATTTTGTTTCGCAAAGGAGCTCGAATTTTCAACAAAAAACCGCGAACCTCGCTCGTAAGATAGCTGTATTTCATTGACTACTAACTCCCAACTCACAAAATTCATATCGTAGATAGAGTAGAGTCAAAGCTACATTTCAGTAAAAAAGAAAAGTTTTCATCTTTCTTAGATGAGGAGCAATTGCTGTTTTACGGAAAAGAATAAATCACTTATACCTCACGAACCATCTAGTAAAAGAGATCCACACTTGGCGGATGATCAGCATTCGGTAAGAGCTACGCCCACCCAAAATTAGAAGTCACTAGCCGTTATGTTTTTTGAGTTATAGGAGTATCGCTACATTTGCCTATATATTCCCGTCACCAAAGGGTTATTATCAATCATAAACATATATCTATAGTCAAACTGTAATTTTTCTATTCTACTATTTTGTTTTCTAGCTATCTGTTGTTCATATACAGCCGCAGATATAAATTGTTATGTATGCAATGGTTGTAATGATAAATTCAACTCATCAGCATTCCAGCCTATACGGGCTGCTCCAACTGAACGGTGCTACGTAAGTCTATTATTGATAAATCTTAAACCATCTGAAATTCAAAATATGCCATTTTCAGAAATCAAAAGCTGATGGTAATGGTATGGTGATACGTAGAATTGTTCTTGCTTCTGTGTGTGATGAACTTGGTGGTGACAACAGATGTAAAAAAGGAACGTTTCAAGGTCAAGTTATACCTGTACCTGGTACAAATTGTTGCTGTAATAAAGAGAGATGCAATGGCGTAAATCCCTCATCGATGGTGAAATATACAACATTAGCTACACTAGCTATTATTACCATGTTAGCTAAAAGATTTCATTAACGAAATACCAGTATGCAACAGTATCAGAACAATATAAACATTTTCATTCTTTTATTTTTTAATACACATTTCGTATTTTTCGCAGGATATCATCTATTAAGAAGTTCAAGACAAATGAAGCTTGTAGTCTAGCTCTTCTACAGTGCAAGTTCTGTCAGGCTGTGTTTATATTTTCCATTAAAAATTACTTCAGTATTGATGCGCCCATCATCTTTGAACAAATTTTGGTTTGATTGAGTCTGTATTGTTGCGTCATTCGTCAGTTTTAGTTAAGATATTAATGAATGATATATAAGTAGTTTTGTGCTGGCATTATACTGCTGAATAAATAGTTCTGAAAAAATAAACTTTTATCTGCCGTTTTCCTCAATACAATGTCTTGCAGCTTCCAGTCATTATGTTAAAAACGCTCCAACTGCACAAAGTACCAGCACGGTTGTTACCCATCGGATTCCTCACCTTCATATTCTTATTATAAACATTAGTTGCCTAACAGACTCACCGGTGCTACAACAACTTATTTCGATTGTATATAGAAACGCATTTTTTGCATTGAGTTTGATTAAACAAGCATAGATTTTTATTAATGTGTATGAGTCGCTCTAGTCCATAAAAGTGGAAAAATTGATTTAAAATTACCACTGAAAGACTTCTCAGAACTTCACCAATAATAAACTAGTCTAATTTGCATACAACATTCTTCTATCTGTATACGCTTATATATCACATAGACAGAAGATCAACATAGACTATGTTAATCAGTAACACAACAGGCGATATTTTTATATAAACTTACTTAAAATCTTTTTTCTTTCACACCTATCTTCGTGGCGTTTTGTACTCGATGCCACGAGGATAGCTGTGAAAGAAAAAAAATTTTAAGTATATAAAACTATCGCCTATTGTGTTACTGATTAACATAGTCAGTACAGAACGTCACCCATTTGAGCGTAACAGCGCAACGAAAACATTATTTTAATTCGATTCAATGAATATTTTCATGAGAACATAATACTATGTTTAAAATTTTTCTTCAGCTTTTGACAGTATCCTTCACCAAAAGTACAGAATCGTCTGGATTATCGAGTGTGCTCAATACAAAAAAGCGCTTTCTGGCGACTCTAAATGAACTTTAGTCTTCTGCTGGTGATATGAAAGATTACATAGATAAAGCTAACTTTTCAATTTATCTAGATTACCAGATTTTTACTCGATTGCAATTATCTGGTAACGGCCGTAGAAATCTAGTAATAGAGAAATTGCTAAATTTCTCCTTAGTTGGAACTATCGATTTATCGCCCGACCGATTTAACTATTGGTAGCTGCTCATGCAGATGCATCTAGTTAAAAGTTCCATTTCCAACTAAATAGTAGTCTAGATGATAACTAGTCGTGCATCATCCGATTACAGAAGAAATGTATCTAGATTCCTCCCATAGGCAGAGACCTGAGTAGGTGCCGGACATTGGGGGTGTAACGAAAGTTTTTTGTCCGAGATAGTGTAAACTTTATTTTAAATAATTATCTTGTTACTGTTCTTTTAAATTTTTGGGGGGTAAGAAAAGTGATTATCAAATAGGTCTAGTATAGGATTCGTCCGAAGCATTTCAGCGATTTCAACAGAATAGCAAATGTAATATTTGTCTTCTCCAAGTCTACAGGAATCAGTTCGCTCACTTTCATTTGACAACAGATAAAGAGGTCGCTAACTAGTCGAAATCATTTTTCATGACCCCGTATTTCTTCGATGCAGAACGTATAGTGATACGGGGTGTAAGTGAACGGCTAAAAGTACGTCCCGTGCTCTTTCACAAGGGAACAGGTAAAATGTAAATAAATCAGCCTCAGTACCGGGTCTGGATCCCGTATAAAGGTTTGATACGGGGACAGAACGTCCGTTCTAAAAATTTTTTAAGCCCTTGGGTTATCAAAAGTTTACGAAATAATAGCTAATATTTACAAAGACAGAAAGGAGTTTGATTTATCTCTTGAGTACTCTGAGAAAGCACTTGAAAATTATCGTCGACCTCCAGAGAATCACGATCAGTTCGGCACAACATACGCAAATCTGTGTATAATGTACGCTAATAAAGGTGAAAAACAGCGAGCATGGGAGTGGCAATATTTAATCGTTTTTTTTACATACGCATGCCTTTGGACGCACTTTCTTTCAAAGAAACTGCTAAAGGCTTCAGCACTTTCTTCACTATACTCCGAAAAGAATTTCTGCTTCTTTACCTTCACAAAAATAACCAAAAAGATCACCTTATTATTTATTTCATGTTTTTCTTCTTTTTCTGCTGCTGTTTAATAATCCAGGTTTGTGTGTTCTAACTCTTTTCAGAAATGAAACAAACGAAAACCACGTTTTGGTTTTTAAACAAAATTTAACAGCTCTCTAGAAATAAAATCAATCGCTTTTATTAGACTTTCATAAATTTGATTGAATCGAAGCAACATATATAAAAAATGAGTAAAAAGACGTCTTCTATATCAGCACCTACTGTTAAGAAGAAACCAGTAGTAGAAACTACTGAAAATCCTCCAAATTTGGAATCCTATGTTTTGTTGTGGCTCGATGGTGACATTAACAAAACACACGATAATATTGAGACATTAAAAGAACTTCGACAAGTTATTAATTACATTCAAACATTTGATGATATTGAACAATGTGAGTCTTATATTCGAGAAATACAAAATGAGAAGGTTCTGTTAATTGTATCGGGTAGCATCGGCCGTAGAATTACTTCACGTATTCATGACTTAACACAATTTAGCGGATTTTATGTCTATTGTCAAGATAAAGCATCAAATGAAAAATGGGCTAAGAGTTATTCTAAAGTATCGTTTATTGGCAATCCTAAAATAGTATTTGCTTAGTCACAAGTGCATTTTTCTTTTAGGTCAAAGGTGTGTTCACTCGTCGTGACGAATTAGTATCACAAATTGCAGTTGATCAAGCAACCCGGTCGAAAGTCGATGATATCACATCAGTTAGCGTTTTTACTCGTGATGATAATGAAAATGCGGAGAATAGCCTTGAATCTCGAAATGCCAGTTTTATGTGGTTTCAGTTATTTGTCGAAGTTTTGTTACGAATGTACCATAAGTCATCGGCACGCAATGAATTAATTAGTCTGTGTAAAAAGAGTTATGTCGGAAATAAATCTGAACAAACCCTCATCGATGAATTTGAACGTCAGTATAAACCGGATAAAGCAATATGGTGGTATACACATGAGTCGTGTTTGTATCGTATTTTGAATAAAGCCTTGCGTGTTCAAGATTTTCACACGATCTTTGCACTACGATCCTTCATAACGGACATTGCAAAACAGCTTAAAAAAGAGAACGAACGTTTCATCCGTACATCAAATAAATCTTGTCCTATAATTAAAGTTTACCATGGTCAAGGAATCGATATCGATGAACTGAATCTAATGAAATCCAATATTGGTGAATTTATTTCAATGAATTGTTTTTTATCTACAAGTAAAAATCGTGCAACGGCACTACGTTTTGCTCGACAATTTGATATGACGAAAGAATTAGGACGCATTTTATTTGAAATCGATATTGACACACGTTTGTTAACTAAAGCGTTTGCTGATATTACTCATTTAAGTTATTACAAAGGTGAAGATGAAGTTCTCATAATGTTAGGAGCTATGTTTCGTATTGAAAAGATCAGTTATGATAAAAAAGAACAGATGTGGATTCCCAAGGAGAAAAAAAATATCGACTATCGGGCGATCTAGCTAGCTAACTCAATATACTACCCGATATACCTAGCTAGCAATTCGAATTGGGTTATTTACTATCGGGTAATATAGCTAGCTAACACGATACATTACTAGATATAGCTAGCTAGTCCAATATACTACCCGATATAGCTAGCTAGCCCAATATGTTACTCGATATATCGA